GAGGTGGACCTCATTTGTCACAACCTCTAGCTTGATAACGCAATATTCACGCGCAAGCTAACGAACAGTCGATTCAAAGGACTAATGAAGACATGCCAAAAAACTCAGAGGTTTCTCATCCACCGTGCGTTAGGCGAAAAAACATGAATGAGGTACCCCGGTCTTAATGAACCCAGACCAACTGAATTAACTTATGTCGCCGGATTCACTGACAATAACCATTGTTGGGGCTTTTATGTCTACAAACATCATGTAACCATTACCCTACAGTGACGACATCGGGAAGATGCCGTCAATTACCTGAAGTGGCCCTTGTAGTACGGGCTTCAGCATTTCTGATATCAACCTCTAGGTTGATTTGGCGTTCATTTGCAAAAAGAAATTTTGTCGAAACTGCACCCAACACATTGATTCATTTTCATTCACACATGAGCCGCAGGCTGTATCACCGTCGAGGCTAGTGCATCTAGAAGAACTACCACCATGAAGTTTAGAAAACAACAAGAATGTCCGGAGTGAAAAATATGGTGACTTAGGCTGAAGAAGTGCACAGACCAATTAGACATGTGACCTCATCTTGCGAGTGTATGCTGAAACTATGAGTGCTCAATGACCGTCCGTATATTATTACTGTTATTATTATTATTATTATTATTATTATTATTATTATCGAGGATATCTTATTACTACAGCTAGTATTGGTGCGGCACATGAATAATTTTATCAAAACCATTTGCTTCGAGTCACAAAGGCGTATATCCTGCTCACCAAATTAACGTCATGGCAGGTGACTCATAGGACTGTTTACCGATGAGTCCCAGTGGGCAGTTGTCAACGGTGAGATGCTAGGGTAGCAGTTAGGCTGAGTAATATGCACATGGTGGGTGACTCCCCCGACGGATGAATCAACATGACAACGCACCCCGAGTTTCATGACAATGGATGCGAAGGTGCATTTCACAGGGATTCATTAAAAATCCCGTCCCCGATGAAGCCTCACGATCCACTCACCAGACAGATAAACCTTTGAGGCCTCAAGCCGGCGGTGGAACATGATAGACATGGGTGACGCAGATAATCATCGACAAGCTATTTCCTGGTTGCGGAACACAGCGCCAAGAAATGGCAGATGTATTTGTAGCAAGAGCAAAATACCCATCACACCCCATGTATGCTGATAACCCCTATCCCTATTTCACTCTTCATGGTTTGAGGCGAAATAACTAACAGGATTAGAAGAACAGGAAGTTATATGTGGGCTAAAACCTGAAGGCACAGCAGTTCAAATGAGCTTCGAACTGATGACAACTGGAGCGAAAGGTGCGCAGCCGTCATGCTTCCACTTCCCAAACTCTTCAAGTTTTGCAAGCATGGGTCCCGCTCTAAAAGATGGTCACTGGTTACTCCCTGGTACCGATTTCCCGTATGCTTTACATTTAGAAAAGATTAAGAGAGGAGCAAAATGAACGGAAAAGTTCGAAATTTGGCTCTGGTACTGCTAAGATTTTGGGGAACGGGATATAAGAGGAGATTAACAAGGAAGAACGCGGCTATTCTTCGGGACCCAGATATCGATTTTGACAGTTCGAGCGGCTCCACGTGCCGACAAATCTGCTTTAAGAGTTTGAGTAAGTAGGGTGAACCAGTGATTTGACCCAGTTAGTGCTAGCCAGTACCCATAGAGAAAATTCTACGGAGTGTTCCATTGGGCCGAACAGTACAGGAAGAAACTGAATATCGCAACGATGCAAATAAACCATCGTAGAACCCGAAAGCACCTAACTAACATAATAATTAATAAGCTACAGGTATGCTGATCCCATACGAAGTACAATTCCGAAATAAATGTAATACGAAGTGATGCAAACATTCTCCTTTTCATGAAGATTGAAGCTAACTCTACTCTGAAAGGCAAGACAAGTTAAGCATTTCAAGGGAAGCATCTCAGAGGATAAGGAAGAGGATACAGAGATAAGACTCGACAGAGGAAAGAAAACTGTATGTCTTGTAGCTCTCTTAAAAGAACCATCAGGAAACATTCATTCCGCATTGTACACACTGCAATCAGGGCGCAAAATAGGTTTTACAACTATGGTGAAGGATTCTTTTGATACTTAAAGTGGATAGCCGCCCAGGAAAGGTCAAAGAACTGCTGAACAATAGGGATAAGACACCTTAATAGTAAAATTAATAAAGTTTCATAAGGGCATCCAGTGATGCATAGAATCTCCATGGTGGTAGCGGGTTACAAGCAGTGGAGGCCAATGACGTATTCGACAGTACACGTATCACAGCAATTCCCATGAGGCCAACAATGAGAAGTGTAAAAATTAGAACCGTGGCTGTCAGCTTTTCACAAAACACACATTCGATCAAACAGGTTTGAAAGGCGAGGTAAAAGTCGGGGCTTACACCTGGTTTCTTCGAAAACATGGGAAAGGCCTAAAAACAGCGACAATCAACCGCCCTCCTCCTGCCTAGTGTGGACATGTGAGCCAACAGTCTACTTAATTATTCAGGGCTATGCGGGTCAGCATCATCAACCGTTTACTCGACGAAGTAGACGACAAACAGGAAAGCGACAGAAACCTTGTCGAGTTCAGCCGGAATGAATAACCTTGGTTGTTCGGAACATGGTTGGTTTAGGGTGGGGACACGTTGAACAAAGGCGTCATGGGTTGTTGTCGTTGTCCTTGTTCATTTGCGATGTTCAAATAATGAGAAACACAAAAACCTCAATGTAATTCGATCCAGCCAGCATTCCTCTCCCGGACAAAACTGGTGGTAACAGGGTCAACAGCATAAGGGCGGGAGAACTGACATCGTTTTGGTACAATGAGACAACAAGATTTGCAGAAAACGAGCGATATGCTGGGTTATCCCACCAGAGCTAAACATGACTACACCATGCACGCAGGGCAGAGAAAGGGACTCGTACTTAGCCAGTGCAATTTAGTCAGTAGGCTGCTTGCGAAGGCGTCCTGTAGTCAGTTAAAAAGCACCCATCCTATAATTACTGAAGCCTTAATCGTTAAAATAACTTAGCAGTTGTGAAAAAAAACTTTTTGTGTGCAGCCGTGATCTTTCAAGAAAATTCCGAATTTTGGAAGACACTCTGAGCTAATACGTTATTTGCTAGTCCAAGAGCGCTGAAAACTAGCGCGAGGGTCATCAGCTGAATACAGACATCTGAGGCGACATACGATTGCAGCGGAAATGTTTATGATGTCATAATCGGCTGACTTCCAGAAAGAGGCTCGGCGTTGATATTTTTTCCAACTGTCTGCAGTCTTGAATAAATCCACTGGGTGGTGTGCAGTGGACAAGGTTCCTCATTTCATCCGACACCAGTACATAAACTGCTAAGGACAGGGGCGAGAACAGAATTTACGCTCAGGAAAATGAATATAAACCTAACCTGATTGGCTATTAGGAATTCAAAAAAGCCCTGTGTTTTGTTAGAAAATCCAAACATGTTGAGGTGTACGCCGGGTACATCGTCAGAACATCCATCTGCATAACGGCCTACCGCACGAACCAGAAAATAATGTAACTTATTGAATGCTGTTTTACTCTTAAGCTATTTACAATTGGAGCACTAGAAATCTTGTTGGACTGCAGTTTTCATGAACAAAGAAGAGGAACCCTGGCGTGGAATGAAGTTATATAAGTGATAACATGCAAATTCGTGTCAGAACGGGTCACCGGAGATTTCCTACGGCACCCAGTCGCAAAACCTTAGTGCATTTTACCATTACACTACTCGTTTATGCAAACTTTCTAATCGAACGCCCAAGTGGGGGGCGCTCACAAACGGACGGGTGATAACCGCTTCAGGAAGAGAAGCACCGCTCTGATCAAATTATGCTTTTCGTTAACAACTCCATTCAGAAAAGTGAAGCTCTTCAGCATGGCAACAACCGAAGTACCCATAAACTGCCATCTATTCTGGGTCACGGTACCAAACTAGAAGTGCAATCAGAGATTCGAATAGGAGCACACGGTCGTAAGATAAACGCCTTCGTATCGGACACTTTTGGCTCTGAGATGATGGGGCTTCAACTCACTCGAACCCAATGACTAAGAGTGTATGCCTCAGCGCCTGCAGATAGTGCAGTCTAGACAAAGCCATAGATCATCTCTATCCCTATCGCCAAATCCGTTCGGGCCAGACAGAAATGCATGACAGAACGAAAGCTGGCGAATAGAGGGAGAAGAAAAATGAGTTATTGGTGTCGAAAACACAGTGCACATTGGGACGTGGCAACCGTGCGCGGACCTCGGTACACCTAAGAAACACGAGGGCGTAATTGATGGGAGAATACGAGCCCAAACTAGGCCGCAGTGCCTCGGCACTTGTCAAGTGGACTATCATTTCACACAGCGACCTGACGTACATGACCAATCGCACAGTAGTTTGGGAACATGGTAACTGGAGACGGTGGGGACATAACGTGCGTGCCCGACGAGGCTGGAAAAGTTGAAGAGCTGGGCCCCTTCTGTTAGGGTAGCTTGTGGAGGGTGAACAGGTAGTTGTCGGGATTCACTGTAGTTAGTACGACGTCGATAAAATATATGATAAAGTATATGGCAGTCGACGCCGTGGGGAATGTTTGTTATCCAAGAAACAAATAGCAACTGCTAGGGAGAAGAACATGATCTAGTCTAATAATAAAAACTTCAAGCCCAATTTTGATATACTGGAAATTCCATAAACGCATTGTGGAGTGCAGGCTCCCTTCTATTCATAGTGTGGAATTAAGCTCTCCGGACAGAGTTCGGAGACTAACCTTAGACGGGGTGGTGAAATTGGAAACTGAGAAACTGGCATCCAAACACACTAAACGCACTGTTTCAGATTTGTAGGCGCGAAGTTGCCTTGGCGTGTGATACTTGGTTATTTTTGCCCGGCTTTTGCCGGTAAAAAAAAAGACGTGTAAATGCGCACTACAAAACAACCTCAGTCGAGAATGCACCCCGCCGACAAAAGGGTTACTCACCTAACATTTCATACCGGGAGGGTTGCTGTAATGGTGCAACTTCATAGGGTGGTGTTGGAATTCGAAGCCTAGAAATGAAAGTTGTTTTATCCCTAGTAGTAATTCTGGCTCACCAATGCATCAAAGAAGAACAGTCGAGACATTTCAGTAGAAATGCAGGTGCATCATGCTGGTTGACGATTTCGTCGGGTAGCACATAACATGTTCTCACCTAAACCGTTGTGCGACAACTACGAGGACAACGTACAGGCGTAAACGAATAAGGCGGGCCGCACCAATCCATCTTGTGATGAATGATTCATCAGACCACTAGATAAAACCAGCACTATGAATAGACAGGTTTGTTCGGCCTCACTATATGACAGGTCATCCATCAACTGATGAGTCAAAACAGCCGAGGTTATCCGACCAATAGATGCGGTCGGCACAGTAAACAAGACGAGTGCAGGCAAGTGTCCGGGGACGACTGACCTCTCCATGACCGTGCATGTGGTTACCGGCACCGGAAAACACGAAACCATGCGCAACCGAAACCACGATTGTGATGGGCAATACCTAACCAGTCTGTGAATTTGCATATGTGAAAATGGTGTAACCACCACATCGAAACCCCACACAGCCTACTGGCCCTTGGTTGCTACAAGAGAAACAGCCCGTGACAAGCTTTGTTGTTGCACACGTTTATCAAATGCAGCATCAAGCACGATCAGGTGGGTGTGAATTTGTGGACGTGTGTGCGAAGACGGAAGGTGGGTTTTAGTTGAAAAACCATGCAATGAGGCTAATTACTAGGCCGATGGAAAAGTTCAGAAAATATCAGTTTGGAAGGAGTATGATTAGGTTGGGACGCATGCAACATAACCAGTAAAATGCCAAAAGATCTGCACCATTTGGTACGGTTCTCCTCACATTACCATGAATTGCTGCGTCCGAAAACAAGGTCTTACAGGCTAATGCGTTAAGGGGAGATACAATATGCATCTACAAATTATTTGTCTCAGTTGAGTCGTCGTTCAGCGTATCCTCTGTCAGTAGCATTACTGGTAAAGTGGAGGATGATAATTTTGAGTACTTGGACGCACGACGGAATGGCCCAGTTCACGTAATTGGTGTTGCAGCTTCGTTGTTTCGAGGTGTTATCCGTCTCAGACGGCATTTTTTGGCTACTACACAGACAAAAAAGGAAATGGATAGCTCGAAATCCACAGGTCTACTCAATGGCAATCGTAAACTAATTTCTCTCAACTTCAAGGCTGCACATTGGGCACCACATTGTCGCAAGTTTAGTATCGTTTGGTCCATGTCTATGTGTGGCAAAAAGCCACAGGAGAGCGTGCACTGGCCATTGGAGGAGTTGGATTTTTCATTTAAGTGGTTATCATAGAGGCTGAGACACAGGAGGACAATATAAAGGGTGGCGTAACTATACAGAATATTCCTTAAACGTGGAAGTTCAGAACTTAAGCGCAACGTACGTCCACCCATACTACGCTTATGGTTTGAGCTCCAGAATGCATTTCAGGAATCATCGTAGAATTCTGAAGCCGCAACCTTCGGAAAAAACGAACAATTCAAGTAAGGATGATTGCCTATCAGAATAGGCTAAACACAATCCAGATGCGGCGGCAAACGTCCCTCAAACACGCCGTTTGTGTCATTCGCACCAGTGTTGACAAGCTCCCCGAGTGGGGCGATTTAGCAGAGGAATGGCTACCAAGATTCATGGAGTGTCTCCTCAGATGCGCAGCTATCTTGCATTTGGTAGCGTAATCTTGCACCTTCATGATCCAAAAAAATGCTATGACCCAGTCGGACCAATAACACTTGGTAATAGTCAGAAAAACAAACCAAAAAAACATCACTATCCGTAGCTGAAGAGGTTTGCGAAGACGTCCACAATTGACACGTGCTTCAAATGTCAACCTGAACAAACAGACCATTGGTCAGGCATCGGAATAGCGACATGTGAGTCGTGAAGACGAGGTCAAACAAGCAGACAGTAAATGGAAAGTTAGCAAACAAAAGACAGAGTTATATACTCTGTGTTGATCAAGATGTCAATCAGACTAGATGACATCCATACATTTGCCGAAGACGTACAACACACCAGACAGAACTAACTCACCTGGTTGTTTGCTCGGCCTTCAGTAAAGAGGACCCGCATGATTTTAAGAGTATCGAATTCGATTTGTAACCATTCCGAGCGTTCTGCCTGGATGGGTTTCGCAGGACACCAAGCTCCAGAGGACTCTTCCTGAGATGCAAATACGACCAAGCTAAAGAAGGAATGAAATAAGGTTGTGTGAACTACATACGGATGAACTTCCTACTAAAACTCACCGTCCACGAAACGGTTACCTATGAAATGAAGAAAATTTCCAGTGTCTAGGCCTGGCGACATACAGCATGCCTCATCCGTAATATGGCCGTGTGCATATGTATAGCACCACAAAGAGATAATTTACCACAATCTTTACCCGAGACATCGTTTTATCGAATCTTCACGACGTACCAGGAACAGGTGTCATATTAATTTGAATAGTCGAGACATTCAAATCATCAGGTTATCAAGTATTGATTGCGTGACGTTATCAGAAGGGCCTTTACACAATCAGACGCTGGATAAAAACCGACATGGTATTTATGCGAACGTAAAGCATGGTTTATTGGCATTTTGTAAACTCGAGTATGCCAAACAAATAATACACTTATACATTTGATGTATAGGTTCTCCATATTTGGTCTGCAGCATTAAAAATAGTCCGGGAAACTCTCGTTCAGGGAGCAATTTATTTCGGTGTGAAAGGTTGATAAGCCCATCCTGTGTCTGTTGAACGAAGCCACAAAGTACGCAATAGGATACCAAAATGATAAGGAGCATGAAAAATTCGACAGCGTGTCCGGTATATTGGTTGATGCTGCCTGTGTGGTTGAAATATCAAGCGCCTGCCCAGCAATGAGTTAATAAACCCAATAAGATGTTGATTTCGAAATATCTTATCTACTGACTGTTGATCAGGCGGCATTTGACCAACCGTCAATAAACGCTATCAGTGTTCAGACATACTACCTATCTGACTTGTCGCATGGTCGGCCACGCCTGATCCCATCATCCCTTCCAAACATCGGTAATCAGAAGCCGCATCAATACACATCACAATACGCTCGTAAGGGGTTCATGGATAAAATAAATGAACCGATTCAAACTGAGTGGGAACGTCCTATAAAATAATGGCATGCACACAGGAAGGGTTTCACATTTTCTGTAGGTCATTGGCTTTAGGTATGACACACTACGGAGCTGGTAAGTCTTGAGTTCGCGCGCTGAATGTGCCATTGCTCTTGAGCAAGATAACGTCCGTAACCAGCAAATAATTTATTTATGTGCAAGCCAGCGAAGAGGACATCAATATCAGTAACAATCCAAACAGGCCTGTATGAGTAATGTTAGGTTCGAATTCCAAAAATCCAGGACATAGGACGAATAAAATCTGCACTGAAACTGGACTTTTGCCTTTGAATTTGGGAAAGCCACTTCACTTCTCGTAAGAGAACGTACGCACGGTTTTTCGACAGCAGAGTTTCCACTTACGTGTGACGCTCTGCACATAAGCAATTGCCATAAAATAAATTTTGTTGCTGGTTCTAGGTCTCTGTGGAGCACGAAGGATACAGTTGCGTTGCGTTAGAGACAAAACACTTCATTCATTCATCGGAAACTGGATTAGATCACCCGTTTACACGAAACAATACGAGAATAAGCGGTTTGTGAAACTCCATTTAGGGGAACTAGTCAGCGTCGTCGTCGTACACAGCTCACAACCGACTAACTGTTGGTACGATGTCTGCACGTCCCACACCGCAAAATACACATTAGGACAGCGGCTAGGAAGGATTTACCCACAGCTGAAGCACTCCAGTTCAACATCAAACTAAACCATTCCGATTCAGCTGACCACCATGAAGAGAGCTGAGTTCACTAGTCCAGAGGACTGAACTTTTTGGTCTATATCATGAATAAGTAAAGTTCAGTGACACTGATGATAGGACTGCGTCGTCAGTTTTCGGTGGATGAAGTTAACAGCATGAGCACGTTGGGGGGCATTCAGTAAACCAGAAACGGTGATGGTGGTATGATGTGAGAACTAGATAGGACACAAAGGGAACGAGAACTTGGCAAACCCAATGAGTGAAAGCGTTTGTGAGAACAAGTGTGCTTGATAAAGTCCACGTCGGAAGTGAGCAACATCAGCGCCCTTTCCCACACAGGTGTTGTCTAGTTGCCAGACGACAACACAAAGGATGTTTGCGGACAGATGTGAGCATTCAACTGGTAAATAGACGAGGCACAGACGCTATGTCTTAGTAACTGGCTGAATGGCAACACTCAGGTCACCCTTGCTGGTGGGACGCCGTAGGCGGTCGACCGTAGACAGCCTACTGAAAGCGCGTATTCAGTTGGCTGAGAATAACGAATCCCAGTTGAGGACAGAATAGTTGCTCATAGACAGGGATAACCTCACCAGTTCAGCTTTTACATTCTACGGTCGAACGTCTCGTCAATTGTACACACATACACCTAGGAGGGGAAGTAACCGAAACTCCTGACGGAATATAGACAATACCAATAGAGACATTTCTAGCACACATTACAAATTATGTATAGCTCCATAAAGAAAACACCATCCCTGAAGGATTAAGTACACAAATATTTGGCAACTTTCTGATCGAATATGGAAAGAGATTCGAAATTCCTTAAGAATTCATCCGTACTAACGAGAAGGTAAACTTTGGGTAGCGCAGCCGGAGAGGCGTCAGGTGGTAGGCGTTGGCATGTCAAAAATGGTTATTTTAACCAGTGGACCGTCCGGACCAATACACGCTGAGATAGCTTAAAACCACCGAATGTTGAACCGCACTGCGACGTTGGCGGCTCCACCCTCGAATGAGGGCGGGAGAGATAGTATGATCATAGTCCCTTAAAAGTTCTCCACAGCTAATCCGACACATGAGTCGTGAGCAAAATTTGGTTTCAGGTGCTGCTTCATATATTTTATGTCACTTCCTATGATCAAGTTTGAGGATGATCTCCTGGTGGTCGTATGCTATAACCCAAACGGGGAAGAATAAGCGTCGCAAGCAGAAAAGTACCGACACAGAAGCGAAAATGACAGACGTCTCACTGGGCGTGAACGAGTGTATGGAAATACGGCACTACCTATCGCAGTTGTAAAATATTGATACAACTGTGATGGGAACAGAATCATGAGATAGCTGTCACTCAAAAGTTGCAGTTTGATAGACTATATATTTTGAAGTCCGCTAGAGTTGGTTCGAAAATATACGTTCTTCAGCGAATGCCAAAGGTATCCAGTGTGCAAGTGCAGTTGCGTCTACTAGACAAGCCTACCACAGACACTGTGAAGACAACAGTAAGATGGTAAAGTTACGAACCAAAGATAAACAGATTTTAGGGAATCACATCAGGAGATCCCGAAGTATCCCTACGAGTTATTTGCAGTGAGTGATCGTGCAAGAACCCCTTTTTATTGAATGTAACTTTAGAACTTAGAAGGTTTAGTACACCGCCATGAAGTAAATATACCTATTCAAAACTAGAAAAACACTGGCAGCTGCTAAGCTATCGTTTTATTCGAATTGTCTTCGAGTTAGCCAGCTGGCATGATGAGCAAGTCCAGCTGTAGCACCCTTTCGATGCCTAACTGCCATGCCACCCGAAGGGAAGCACGACGGCTGGGATACTGCCAATTTGCCCAAGCCTAGACAGGGGAAGTCGAGAGGCAGAAGTCCGGTTCGAACCACAGACCTTCCGGTCAGTAAATTGGTGCTCCAACCGCTGAGCGTGGTAAGCTAGGATATCTTAACAAAACTTGGAAAGTTAATATTTTCTGCGAATGAAAAAGGTCAATGGATGTGCAAGTTTGGAAAGCATCCGTATCGACTGAAGTTTCTATTAAACGAACAGTACTCAACCAATGGAAAAATAGGGGCAGGGAGAGAGGCAACCATTGTGGAATATTATGTGGTTACGAACCAGTTAGTTGAGGATGTTCATTGTAAGACTGCAAGGAGATCCTAACGAGAATGTCTCCTGATGACACTTTCACGGCAGGCTCATTCTTATCTATGAGTCTACAAGTGCATCTTGAGCACCTTTTACCTCTAGACCGTCGTGTGTTTAAATGGGATAGTCTGCGAAGTTCCAGGTAAGAGGTCAAACTCAGAATGCCGAATTACATAATTATCCATTGACCAACAGGATGACAAATAAATAACTAAAAAAAAGTTAGCACTTGAGAAGTGTCAATATTTTCACCAAACGACTGACAATGTTTCTAAAACAGATATTCCTAAGATTGTGTCCGACATTTGTATGTGCGCCTTCTGTGTCAACTTGTCAAGAGCTTGTTGTAATATGACTGATGGGATGGTACCTAAAGTGAGGATATTAAGTATGTCTGTCAAGTTACTGATGAAACCTACTGATAACTTAACATCTTTCCGCTTGACAATGGAACCGGGAGTCAGCTGTGCCGAAGTCTAAACAGGCAGGCAGGTACACGATATCACAGGTTATTTTGACCTCAGGGACAAAGTGACCAGGAAATCGCACACATACACAAAACGAGCAAATTCGTGAGGAGGGATCGAAAAAGACAAGAAAATGGATGAAACAGAAAAACATCATGCGGTTTACAGCTAGTCAAACGCGTTAGTGACAATGATTTCAAGGTTGAACGCAGATTTTACACATATTCAGCAATCTGGGCAATGAAACCTGGGAAAAGAAGGCTCTTATTGACCAATCCTATTATTGATTGGCCCAAGTTACTCAACGTCTTTGCAACTGCAGGTGAACCATATCTTTGTAAGTAACATATAGTCTCTATGTAACCACAAAAAGCATGAGTGAATCCGAAAAACACCGGAGAAACTACGAAGGCAGATTACTTTTGTTTTCTTCAAGCCTTTTAAACCCTTTTCCAGATAGGAAGATACCCGAAAAGTCTCTACGAGTGCTCCACCTTAATGGACAATACGTCATCACATTCTAATACGATTCTCCTGCTTACCACGACCAGGTTAATAATGAACGTGGTGAAATCGCTCCCACCAAAGAGAGTAACTTCAACAATGTGAGCTGACTAGACGTAAATAAAACGGCACTGAAGAACTTAACTACAAGGATTGAGAACACGGGATTTTTGGTCAAATCAACAGATGTAGGAAGAAAAACGGGCAAACTGTTACTTATGGATTGCGTGGAATTTTCATTGACGAACTGTTGACATAAAACAAGCTCGGCTAGGACGAAACTGTCAAGTTTTTCGACGCAGACAAATGTACGGATATGCAGACGGTCTGACCTCTGATTGCGCCACAGCATGTTAGTGAGGATGAATGTGCGGGTGTTTTTAGCATGGAAACAGGAGGCCTAATGGTACAGTACTAGCTGTCAGATCTTGATGAGTCTCCGAAGGCTAGACAATACAAACACCACCTTTAAGAATGAAGCGACAACTGACACATGTTGCACCTTTCAGCTGCTGCTCTTTGGTAGCAGAAAACGGCACATTTTTTCTGCTAAATTCCAGGGCAACCAGTTGGAGTACGGTAACAGAAAAGTTAGTGACTTGCTACGATAAGTGCACAACCATTATTCACCCCAATTTACACGACGACGAATTACAATTCTCAGGGCAAATAATTATATGATCGTTCAGCTGTAACACCCTTTCGGTTCCTAGCTGCCATGCCACCTGAAGGAAGTACGAGCGCTGGTATACTTCCAGGTTGCTCAAGCCTAGACAGGGGAAGTTGAGATGCATAGGTCAGGTTCGAAACAGAGACCTTCCGGTCAGTAAACTCGCGCCCTAACCACTGATCCATCTCGCCCGCACCGCTTTGAACAGCCAATACAAACACCGCGTAAACCGATTATACACGGAAGATATACTGACAGGCAAGTAATCCCTCTAGCGAGCGAATTGGTCCTTCCTTATTTTCTCTGAAAAAAACTCTACTCATTGTCACTATTTTCTTCAGCAACACTAGTTTGTTATTTCTGTCAGTCACTTTCGATGAAGTCTACGTAATAATTCATTCCGGAGAGAATTCCAATTATGGGAGACAATGGAGACAAACGACTCACCATTCCCGCACGACTCAGAGAATTCTAACTATGAATACAGTTCGAAGGGGTTGCGATCATCCTGTCCAACGGTCGAACAGTAATTCAGATAAGAGGGCGAACAGTGGTTGGTCCACTTACAACGATAGCAAAAGAACTACGCGCTGCATAGAAGACTCAGACTTAGCTAATCAGTGGGAGTTCTGCACTAGATGCTTCCTTATACAGTCATGTCTTTGGGATCTCCAACATATCGTTGACTTTATGAGGCCACCAAGGACAGCAGACTCATGATGTGAACACTTTTCGCTGTCTATAAGATGTTTGTTTTCGAGTATATACACTCTTATTCATATTCACAAACTGTTGGATTAGCAGAAAGTTCCTCCGCTCAACGGGAAAACCTAACGCTCGGAGTAAAAAAATTCAGAAACTAAGTCGGGGTATACTTGTGTGAAAAGTATGTTCTTGAAAGGCCCAAATCAATACCGAAAAGTTGTACGTTGCTTTGTTGGGACAAATTCTAAAGCAAGATGAAAGGCCCATTTCAAGAAAAGGGTTAGCTGACAAATTTTGTTTAAAGTATTTAGCTAAGGAGGTAAAAAAAACAACGACGAGGAAAACCCGTAAAACTAACCCGAAATTCGTATAGTGACTTGAACCACCAGATAAATATATGGTGCACTGGAATACAAATCCTTCACAAGCTGTGTACCTTGAAGGGCTAAGTTTTAGTTTGTTAGAAACCCAATAGCGGGCTGAAGAAGATAAACAGGTTAACAAATCAACCTACAAGAACTTTCGGGGAAACCCGAAGGAGCGATTTGTGACGCACAAAAGCTTCGAAAACTGTCGTGCTTCTTCACAAAAGCATGTGATTAATGGGACGGTGATCTGAATGGGCAAATACAACCGTGTTTGTGGACCTTCGTTAGCAGAACGTTGTTTTTGTTAGTATCGTTCCTCTCCAGTTTTTGGTCATAATTAGGAAAAACAATTTGTCCAATTATCAATAACAAGCAGGCGGGAATGAAATGATTCACCGCAGGTTCACAAGAGTTGCTGTTCTGCTCTGCTTTCGAGTATTCGAAGTAGAATGGAACACGAAGAGGACACAAAGAAGGGGAATCCGATTGGAATCGATTAGGAGTTCCAATTCGAAGGCCTAAGTAATGTGTTCAGGAAAATTCGGAAACAGCAAAAAGTGCGTACGGCTGGGACGATTGAAATTTGCCGCTTTACGTACATCGGACAACAAACGACAACTGTCTCAATGAATAAAGGAAGCATTTTAAGTGGGTAACGTTCTCATACGGTTCACGCCGGGCTATGATTAGTTGCAATGAATAAGAGTCTTCCAAACAAGCGTTCCAGAAACAGAGACCACTCTTTACATTAAGACCAGTTAGGTCTGGTCCCAAAATATGTATTGGAATCGGTAACCATCACAGGCCCTGATCTTTAGCCCCATCCTCCCACACACAAAAAAGACCTTAGGTATTTCTGAGATGCAGATTGCCCTTCCGTCAAAAATCCAGTCGAGAAGCTAACGAACTGGATTTCCTTATACCATCATAAGCAATGGTTCCCATAAACCGTGCACACCGATCGAAGAGTTCCAAAAGCGCACCATAACCTGACCACACAGTTGTTCGCTTCCACAATACAGACCATCATGAGTAGCAGCCAGGCTCCATGAGGAAATATTTTGTAGATCTTCTAAAGATCCTTCCAAATGCTAAGGCCCTCCCAGTAATTCTGAGAAGATTCCGTTATTAATTGGTTTCTCAGGTGGTCTCTTAGGAGGACAAGTGTTTTTTTGATAAGTTAATTCCTCAAGTGAACCGAAAATTAGCCGTGGTCGGCGTTTTTGCCGATCAGGCCTCCGTATAGTGGTTAAACCTGAAGATTGAAGAGGACTTGGCTGCGGATATTAGGAACAAATTGCGACTAATTTTGCCGGAATCTGAAGCAACGTTACGGTTTGCCTTCGACGGCCGATGCAATTACGTTTTCCTGAGTGGAAAAATTCTTGAGGCTGGTGCACGTTGTCACCAGCCTCAAACTAGATTGTCTAGCAATCTAGTTGACAGAAACTCAGTAAATACACAAACGTTTGTTTCAGAGCTTCTGAAATTGAAAAACTGCAGTAGTCTTCCCGTTAGCCACTCCATACGATGCTGTGAGATTTACGTTGGAACTGATACCTTTTGAAATCACACCATTCGACGTGCTCTTCCAGACGCGAACTCCCTAACAAAAACCAGAAAGCAAAACTATCCCACTGGGTCTTAGTAAATTCCTGTGCTATCTTTGTATTTGACTAGATGTGCAGCAGCAAATTTATTACTGATGCGGTTGGAGGTTCCAAATTCGACTCCATCCAGAGACAATCGGAAAAGATGAACCGTAATCGGTCTTTCCCAGGCTAGCTACAGACATCAATCAATGCTTTGATGAACCAAGAAGTGGCTAGTTTTGAAGAGTGATCGTTCCGGGAGGAGACGATGCTAATGGTATCGAGAAGTATACAAAACACAGAACCTCAAGTCATTAAAAGTAGCTAAAATGTGGGGTAATGTCCTCCAATAGGTAAAATATGAGTGGTTGCTGGAATTTCGAATCTCACAGTGAGTGTGAGAAGCAGTTATCCTCTGTGAAGAAACCGCCATCTGAGGGTTCTATCTTTGGTTAACCTTCGACGATTAGTCCAACGCTGAATCCCCTCCTAGATCGGCTCCTATAAAATACCACTTGTGGTCCGCCCCTAGGTACTTTTCCTCAAAAAGAATAGAAATCCACCAAACATGATAACCTACGGACTAACCGGGTATCAGGATAGTGACCAAAACATAGAAATCATATTCCTGGTAAGTTGGTAGATTCGGTTAATCTCAGTTAATGGTTCAGATCATAGGTAGCTACCAATGTGAAATTACAATGACAGCCTTTTGACAGAGTGGCGATTTATGTCTCTTACTCAGGGTACCACTATCATCCAAACCAAAATTTCGTGGAGTTTCAAGGTGAAAATGTAATTGAGTAAACCCGGTCCAAGAATCTCGGACAACCCCAGCAGCAACCCCCTTCTTTGCTAACAGCAGCACCAAGAAAGTAAAGTGCTGCTACTTTAGGTAACCAAACAAGCGACAAAAGCGGGTCTAAATCCCAATAATCAAATTACGCAACAAATTGCTAGCCGCGATCGGTAGTCTCGACTTTATTTATGCCTTTTCTGAAGATGACGGAAAGGATTATCGCAAACGTGGGGACAAATGGAACTGGTAATCTAGGGAGTGAGATGTTGAAACTTTGCGTAGTCGGAGCTGTCTTGATGGAGTGCATAAGACTTCGTGGGAGATTCCGGACAAAGCACAATCGTTCCACTATCGTCCTTTGCAAGAAGCTAAAAATTTTAGTGTGTGGAGAAGTAACTAGAGTGACCATCAATCGTGTGTAATACCCATGGCGAAAACGTCATGAGTTAGGCATGTAGTCTCTATGACCTTGCTAGAACCACGTTTCTTGTGCTTTGTATCCGGAAGCGGTGTTACTGGGTCTGATTGTACGAGCATGCTTATAAGCATATATATTGGTCAGGATGGCTCTAGGAACCCAGACCTATATGAGCCAATTTGTGGGCAAATTACAGCGCGTGGGCTGCTCTACATCACTCTGGCCAGAAATGCCACACTAGCGTGACAGATTGTTAGAGCATTCGTGCTAGTGCAGTAGTTTTCGTTGACAGCCTTGATATGAGGCAGTCGTTTGGAGGGATTTGAGAGGACAGATAGATTAGTGCTTCACAAGATTCCACGCCTCACCACATTATTACTGAGAATTCCAGGAGAGGGTCAACCCTGTTTACATCATCAACGATAGTGGTCCCTCAAAGAGTGATGATTTGAACGGTCCTCAGTGATTGGTTTTCATCCGTGAGGAATTATTGTATTTGTTCAGAGAAGAACCCAAATATCACGGCTAAGCAGGTGAGCATTTGCACTATGGT